ATCCTTCTCACTTCACCGAGTCTCTGCTGAAAGCTGTCCTACCAAAGGGACTAACCTAAATGAGTCTTGCTCACCTCATTACTTTTTGCATTAACACGAAAAATCAATATCCACGGATCCTGACAGTCATGTTAGTTTGCTAGTATAAAATATTAGAGAAATAACTATCATATATTGCTTCCCTAGATTATACAATTCAGTTGTTCTGCTTATACAGATGTTGAATGCGAAAACCTTCATCTCATTCCTAACCCACAGAGGTAAAAAAGACTGAGGAGGGAGCACAGGCATGCGCAAGAGAAATAAATTACACTAGGTCACTCAGAGAAACAGAAAACTACAAAGACCATTAAGAATAACATGTCTCTTGTATCAGTAACTAAGCCATAGAAAATTACATCAGATTAGTAAGACCTTGACAGATGGCTGCATTGGGAACAACTCCAAGTGTTACCTGGACTTCAGAGAACTTTAGGGGACTTGTTGCTCTATTTAAAATCATTTTCTAAAGACATGTTGCCCTGGAATAAGTCTGAAATGATCTGCAATTACAGGTGAGACTAGTGGATATTATAATTACATAATGTTCCATCTTACTGACTTGTTGCTCCTAAGGATTTAAAAAAAAAAAAAGAAAAGGATGCACCAAAACACACGCTCCTTTTAACTTGTGCTACTGGATCTTTTCCCCCAGCTATCTGCAGGGATGCTGTTTTCATCTATCACACTACACTTTTGATTTGACCGCACATTATCTTCTTTCTCCTGTCATGTGACTATGTACCTACCCCACAGCAGATATACCACATTTAAGATGATGAGTGCAAGTTATATAGACAATGACTTCAAAATTAATCTAGAGATTACTTTAGCTGCATCTATGCAGAATTCTTTCCTTAAAGTGGTAACTTTATGCTGCAGCTGCCCCTGTTGCATCCCTGTGAGACTTTCAATGCAAAGAAAACCAAAGCCAAGCTTAAAATCCATTCTTCTCCACAAACTGGCATTGTGAAAGAAATGTGTCTGAAAGAAAACATGCCACCTGGATGAAAGTCCTTGTGCCTGAGTCAGAAAGCCAAAGGTTCAAATTACTGAGTTGAGCAATACAGATCAGGATTCTACTTGTACATACATTTGCACAACTTACACCGTGCAAACACCTTAAGTTGCTATACTCTGCATCCCACAAAGATATAAATGAGGAAATAATTTATTCTCCCACTACCCTAACACTATGTTTTAGCCAAGTCAACCCTCACCATTATTAGCACTTTTCAACCCTAGTGTTTAAAACACAGAACATTACACACTGGTGATCATTGTACAAAGGGTGAGATGTTGGCATATCAATACATGTCTGTACTCTGACATGTAGAATGTAGCACTGAATTTGATGATGCCAAGCTCCACTCACAGAGGTTTAAAGTGGCAGAAATCGTTTCATCATTTCCTGTTGATGACTTCAGGACTTCTGGCACAAATCTGAGGATATTTCAGCGCGTAAAAAACGATAAATTAAAAAGCAAACACCAAACCTAAGCAAGCCCCTCCACCACCACTTCTCCGTAATTCCATGCTCAACAAAAGTGCATTTGTTACTTGGAACTTTGCAGAAACCTTCCTCCAAATGCAGGTATTAAAAAAAAAAAAAAAAAGAAAGCAATATTTATCCACAAATTAAAATCTGACAAATCTTAAATCTTTACTGTAAACATGTAAAAATCAGCTTTAGCCTCACTTTTTCTGCTACATCTTACAGGCATCTTTGCCAGCCATACAAAAACTAGATGTGCATGTGTGATTTCATTTTTGATTCTGTCCTCTTGGTAAAGTGAGCAATCTGGGGCACCGCAGTGCTCTTTACTTTGCAGAGAGGAGAAAGAGAAAGGAAGGAAAAGGAACACTAACCAGGGCTCTTTCTGCTGTGTTTGGGACAGGGCTTGGCATCCTGAAAGTTGTGGGACATAACTTTTGATATGCTTCATTTGTGTTAGTTTGTCCCAGGGAGAATTAAAATCGCCACCATCATGACATGGTGTTCCTCCTAATTACACCAGGTAACTAAGCGTTCTCTTAAACTACAAAGCTGTTTAGGTTATGGTTGGACTCAGTCTTAAAGGTCTGTTTCAACCTAAATGATCTGATGATTCTATGAAATAATTGGATGAAACAGATTAAAAGCTTCCGTCCCACATGTATGGTATGGGTGTAGTATTTTGGCAGATTTTTTTCTACCCCATAAAGAAGTCAGGAAGTCTGCTGGAGACTGGGTGTTCCGTGGAATCAATCAAAAGCGCGTAGAAATGGCAATACAAAATCTAGCAAAACACACTTCACTTTTCTGCAGCATGCTAGAACTAAAAGAGAAGAAACTATGCCCAAGTGAAACTATAATAGGTGTTGCACTCTTCATTCCAAAACCCACAATTAACTTTCATTCATATACTGCCAGGAGCAAAGTTCTCCTCAGTGTTACGTATCAGCTGTTAGACAAATAGCAATGCACTGTTCCCTCTAGTTTTGAAATAACTTTCATATTATTACTTAAGAAAGGAATTATTGCTGATTTCTCCCACCTCCCTGCACCCTGTAGTCACTAACCAAGGGCTGAGATGCTCACCAGTATTCTCTGCAGTCTCTTTCACTGCAGAAAATGAAGTGTCTAACAAAGTTTGTCAGGAGCCCCTACGCTTGGAGGGAGTATGAAGTCCAACACAGTCCAACTCTTAGGAAGAAGGCATCCGTATGGTTTTCAGGCCATCCAAACAAAGCCTGGGCAGACTGAGTCAGTCAGCAAATGGGTAGCATGAATTACAGTAGCAGAAGGCTCAGAAGCTGCTGAGTTAAAACAGCAGCAAGACGACTGTTCTACTGGGTAATTAGCACTCAAATTGCCTATGGCACCAGTGTATGGCATCCTATATCTAGATTTTTAAATTATTTTGTTGAGTTGGTTGTTTTTCTTTTTAGTTTCTATACAGGGATAGCTTCTGATTCTGCAGAGCACTACTTCAATCAAGTCAGCCACCAGCTTTGTATACAAATTAGAACTGACCAACACTGGGGTTTGTGTGCACATCATGGAGCCTCAACATGTTACATGGCCAAACATGCTATACACAGGTAGATGTGTAATTCATCAGATGAATTTCTGGGGGAGCACCACGCACAAATTTCTCTCCTAGCATTTCATGGAAAAGACTGTTTCTCTTCATGAGAACACTACTTTACCACTCTGCACGTCTATAAATAATCCCATGGATTAGATAAGTCCCTCTTTTCCAGGATGACCCTCCTGCACAGTCTATTGAGTTTCTCACCCACAGAGCTCTGCTTTGCTGGCTCAGTCTCTGGCCAGCACACAAAGCTATGGTTTCTGGTCGAGAAGCAAATGGCATTCCCTGCAGAGCCCTTTAGCTGTCGAACCATCTGGAAAAGCTTAATGCCAAGCCAGCCAACACTATCCCCCCCTTCCCCCCCCTTCAGAGAATACATCAGCCCAGTAGATGAACAAGTAGCAAATGGTGCAGAAATGGGGAGCATAAATGAGCAGAATGAATTCCCCTGTTCTCAGTACTACAGGGTGAGAAAGAAGCAGCAGTATGTAAGAATGTGCTACTATCATTTATGGAATATGAAAGAAGTATCACCACTTTTGGTCAATGATGTGATAAATGTCGAAGTAAAAATCCTTTCTTGTTTTGGACAAAAAGAATATAAGCAAAATACGTTTTAATGTATTTAACACAAAATAGTAGAACATACATATTCTATTAGTGTTTGTCTCCATGAGAATTCTAAACATGTACTGTATCAAATTATTCTAGCTCTCCCTAGAGCAGCAATGTTATTAAGCATCTGAACATCCTTAATCTAATTGCATAAGTTAGCAATTCAATTTTACATTTGCTGTTCAGTTGTTCACATTAACCTTTAGACCCTTTCAATGAAGGAACCTGTTTTTTTAACTAAGAGTAGCTAAGTACTCTGAAAGCACCCATGTTCTATTTCAGTACTGTAGACACAAAAAGATTACAAGTACCCTCTAATTAAGGCTCAACTTTTTAACTATGTAAAGAAAATAATTTGGCCTTTATTTCAGTTTGAATCCGAGATGCATCCACTTATTTGTAAGATTTTATTCCATCAGCAGGTTCAAGGATGAATTAGTTTAATTAGCATAGAAATTAAAATGTTTTGGGACTCTCCATATTAAGATACTCTACAATCTATGACTTCCAGTATTTACTATCAGAGTATCAAACTCCATTATTCAAGATCCAATTTTGTCTCACCTGAATTCTTCATATAATAACATACCAAAACTACCAGCATTATCAATTTTTCAGTGTTATAAAGTTCTCATTATACGTACAATTACTTATATGCAGTAGCATAAATGCACAGTCATACCCTTAATCATACCCAAGCAATTTAGTAGTCAAGCAACTGAACTCCATAGGCACATAAAATTAAACATGCATTTATTGCATATATATTTATATACTTGAGATACGTTAACAACAATGCCCACCGTAACTCTCATGGTGTATATAATCTGACCAAAGAATATGTCAGATCATATACACAAGTTACAAACTGGGTAGACTTCAACTGAAAGCAAGAGAGAAAACACTGAACAGGCAATTTCTATAAAGATATCGCTCAAATCAGAACCATAACAACTTTCTAGACCAGCTAAATGTTACATTTAAATAAGTGATTTATGCAAAGCAATCCATACTGCACTTGAAGTGAAAGTAATACAACTCCCTTTTCACCTATACATAACATGTTGTTCATGTAATGCTGTCCAAAAACTTCAAAAAGCATTTGCTGGTCATAACAGTTACTCATTAACATGTTTAACATTGGTTAAGGTAGAAAACAAGCAAGTATAACCTGTGCCTACAGACCAAAGAAGAGCCACAGATCCAACAACCTCAAGTATCAGTTGCACAAGCATGACACTAAGACAACACAAAGAGAGAACACCATACCTGATACTCTTCTGTTGTACCGGTTAATAAGCGCAGCTGAAAAATAGACAAAAAAAAATCTAAATTAGAAATGCTGTTTATTATCACAAATTAAGTTATCACCTTGAATAATCATGATATATTTTTATCACACAAATCCCATACAAATCTCTAAGAAAAAACCAAAACCCTTCAATATAAAGCTTTCATCCACTTATGTGCCAACCAGTAAGTATTTATTCAGAGTTAAAACCTGAGATTCCAGAAGGATATTCCATTACTTGCCAACATGGAGGGTAAGCAGCTTCGGGGGTTTTTAGCCAGTTCTGAAAAACACATACCCCTCCAGGGGTTACCAACCTTAACCTATCAGCAATTCCCAGCCCACTTTACTTAGCTTTATTACAAAACACTCAAGCACTCCAAGTCAGCTGTACCAACATAACACAGAGCACAATGATGGAACTTCCTAGCTAAACCATTCCATACTCCTCTAATACACAAGCCATGTAACTGCTCAAGCAGCACTCCCATACTAACTCCAGTCATCTATCCTTGACCAAGGCTATTTTCCATAAGGGCACACATTTAAACTGAAAAGTTCTGAGATGGAGGATCCATTGCTTCATTGTTCATGCTGTTAGCAATACAATATATTTAAACTTTATCTCTAATTTGGAATTAACTTCCTGACTTTCAGTATTTTGACCTTAAGCCAACATTTAGTAAATAGTATTTTTTCCCCCTCTCACTGTAACCAAGTTCTGGTCTCAACACAAAACACTATTAACCTATTAAACTTCACCCAGAACAAAGCCAAAACACTATGCATCCATTTACCACTAACAACCAAAGTAATTTTGCTCTGAATGCTCCATGCTTTCCCATTTCTCTTCCCTCAACTAGTAATTGTGTTTTTCTTGACACAACCAGTGACCTTCGTATTCCATACTTTAAATGATGAAGAATCAGATGGCCCTTTATACCACATCAAAGCACAAGCATCACAGATCCCAGATTTATGAAACACATATGCTACCAAAATCTTAATGATATCGTAATTTCTTAGAAAATTTTGAGTAACTGAGAATAATATCAGAATAACGGAAAATAAGGTCAAAAGCATCCTCTCGTATCTTTTGTAATAATAAAGAAAATAAGAAGGGGGGGGTGGGGAATAATCAGGATAACTCCATAAACTTTTCATTCAAATCTATCAACCAGGAGATAATGCTCATCTTAACAAGAACAGTTAAAAGAAAGATATTTTGTATTTTATTACTTGATCGAGACCTAAGCTTCTATAACACAGCATAATCCTTATAAAAGTAACACTGCTGTGTTCTGTGCATGAAGCTTGAAGAAGCTCAAAACCACTGAATGATAAACCTGAGAACTCAAAAAACTTTATTTTTAAACCTTTAAGCAATTTCTGACAGCAGCAGCCCTTCCTGCAAATAAGGGTAGCATATATTCACTTGTTACAGGACACCACGAATGCAAGAAGTTTCTATAACCTTAAGGGGAGACATGCACTTGGAACAGAGCTCCATTCTGGTTTATTAAACAAACAACAGACTCATGCAAACTGAAGGTGTTCATACATTTTGCCCTGTTTTTAACTTTTCCAAGTGGGACTGTCTGTGGCCATCAGAAGCAACAGAACACTGCTCCAACCTTTAATTTGCCTGGCCACAGCACATTCATTCTTATCTCTAGTTTACTGAGCTAGTTCTGAATAACTACTCAAACTCGGCAAGCAAGACTTTAAGAAACAGGAAAACTCACAACTATTAATCTACAAACACAAGCAGATGCCCACCAGTTTTGAGGTGCTAAAGAACTACAGGACCAAAACCAGTTAGTTCATTTCCCGCTACAGTGATTTGTTATGAGAACAATACTAAATTCAAACTAATTAAATAAGTTTGCAGCAAAAACACCTCATCTAGGTCATAATATTTTCAAATGTGCGCCTAGTTTCATATACAGATTTGATACTTTAACACCATTATACATGATTTCATGCAGTCTTGCACATGCAGACTTTCTTTTCTATCTTTTGACTACTACACTCATTTCTTATTCATGTTTAATAATGTTTTAATGCCTTTGAACAGAATGAATATACTACAGAAAACCCTGCCATACTTTGAGCTTTGAGTACCATATTAAAAATCCACTTTCCAAAGACTACAGCTTCTTTTAGCATCTTTATTATTTTCTCCCATAGCAGAGTTCAGCGTCATCAAAACAGCATCAAGTTTTCCACACTGGTAAAAATGAGGAAAAGAAAACAACATAACCTTTTAAGGACAGTTGAGAGAGCACTATTATTCTGCCTCCACAAAGCTCTTAAGATTAAAATGATAATTTGCTTTTCTTACACCACTGACAGTTTTAATATGTACAAAATTTCAGGTGCACTTTTATATGTTGTCAGAAGATAACTGTTTTTATGATAAAGAAATAAAATCTGACATTTTCTGCTACACAAGATTAGCATTTTCTTTCCTTCTGGCTCACCAGTGAAAAGCTCTCTTTGTTTATGACCATTTTCAGTGTTGCACAGACATTACAGCCACTCCTTTGGCATCGTCGTGTTTTGTCATTAGGACTGCCAAAGGAACCACTCCTGAAGGTCCCACATACACCTAGATTGGTCTGTGGACAGATTCCAAGAAATTAGATGGGGCGGAAGGGAATAACATGTACAGTTAACCCAGCCCATTTCCTACACTGAATGGTAAAAGTGTGTCTAATTTAAAGCAATAGTGATGGATACACTAATATTAACCTCTTGGACCAGCCCAGCCATTAAAGCACACCTCTGCCTATGCTGTAACAAGAATACAGTCAATCCAGCCCATCAACCTGGTACCACTCAGAAGATCAGTTATCTTCAACAACAAAAAAATCGGTACTTTGAAACAGGAAACAATTTGGGGGTTTTGCACCTACACTTGGTATTTCCTTCCTGCACACCAATGGGCCGTGTCTCAGGTCAGTTACATGTTAATTGAAGATATTATAATGAGATTAAGAGATTTTGCTGTGATGTGGCTACATTGCAAACTCTCCATTACGTCAAAACCTCAGGTGCAGCAATACTCAAGTTCAAAATGTCTCATACCTTTGGTACAGTCCCTGCTTCTGCTTGGTTCATAGGAGCCAAGACCCAGTAACTGGATAAACACAACAAAACCGAAGGCAAATTAAATCATTGTACCAGAAGAGACCAAAAGGACCCAATTTCCTCCCTGGCAGCCAAAGGCAAGTGACTCTGCAGTGGAAAGGCAGCTCAAGCTGTGTGTTCAAGGCTCTGCCAGAACTGACTCCAAACAGTGATCCTTCTCCACCACTCACGAAGAAACAGGAGTATCTGCTGAACATGTGTGTATTTTCCATACTGTCCTGAGGCACAGACTGAATGAAGCATTAGATAGCAACACTTAACAGGGAATGCTTCAGATTTAAAAAAAAAAAAAATAGAGGTTTCTGGTTGTAGGATTTTTTCTTATTTTACAATTGCCATTTCCTGCACCAGGGAGGGGAAGGGGGGAACCAAACAAAAAAAAAAAAAAAAAAAAAAAAAAACCAAACAAAAAAGAGTGGACATTCATTCAAATATATATATGTATACACATACACACACACAACCTTTCTTCCTCCAAGTAAAGGCATGGCATTCTGTTTAACAGAAATTATACTGCATAAATAAATCACTACTGGACACTGCACTAGCTAAATTTACAATTTTATATATCCAACAGGAAACAGCCCTGCTGTCATGCAGCTGTACCACCCCTTGCCAGGAGCTCGATTCCATTTGGTTTTCTCACTTGAAAACTGAAGGATATAAATTTCAGAAGCAGAGACTGGTATGTGATAATGCCTGGAACCACTGACCACAAATATATATTATGATGATTACTGTTTAAATATTTGATGGTAAAATTGTTGTCCAACTTTACAAATCAGATCTAAAAAAAATGCTTTTCCTACAGCACATGGATCCCTTCTTTGTTGGTGTACTGAAAAGCGACTGGTAAAAAAAAAAAAAAAGCAAGCTTTTTAAAAGTTATATTACTACCTTCCATGTAAGGTATTTCTCTACTACTCCTAAGGTTAAGTCTTCTAAGTGTGTTAGAAGTCAAAGCCATAGTAAAAAATGAGATTAAATACATATTGTACAGTTACAGAAGATGCTAAAGGTTGAACTGAATGGGAAGTCACAAATACCAATCACCCAGCTATTGCTTATGCACATACTAAGAACACCAAATTCTTACAGAAAGAATAAATAAAACTCAAAAAGATCAGTTCAGGATCACAAGAAAAAACTTCAGGGACAGATGAAGAACTGGCATTCCAGACATGACACTAGAGCACAGGATGCTACCCCTCTGTACTGGACACCTTGTAAACTTTAATTCTCTTCTTCCACATGCTATGTGTTTTTTACCAGGACCTGTGAGCACTTTTTGATTACGACTGGGGTAAAAAAGTCCCCATGTACTGATTGTTTCTGATACTGGACACAATTTCAAGCAGCAGACTAAGTTAAGCTATCGTGTACACAAAAATGTAATACAGATCTTTCATGTCAGACTCTAATCAACAGTTTTTCAAAGGTTTCCTGATGAAAGATGGAGCAAAGTTTATAATAGGTCACAAATTCAGTAGTACAGTACTCAGAGTTCCAAGAGCATAAGCCTAAAATACCAGCTTTATTAAAACAAATCAGCATTTCCAAAGTACACTCCCATCAAATCACAACACAAAACGTGACCGGAGACAAGAAGAGAAACAGAATGTAAAAAGTTCTGATTTAACCAGTCAATTAAGATTATCCAAACAAGATGTGAGTTGACACTATAAACCATTAAAGCCAAAATACCAGAAGCAGAGAGGAGTATAAATCTGAGGCACGACTGTCTTTAGGGAATGCTGTATCAAGTTACAATAAGGAAGTGCTAGACTACAGCTGTCAAACTGTTTTTCAACACACCAACATGTTAATGGACGTACATGAATATGAACAATCACAACTGTGA